ATCTCACCAGCCTCCTCTTCTGTTTATATTATGGTTCATCCATGATGTATCCCTCCAAGACTCACCTATTGAAGATTCGAACACGAGGGCAGCAAAGTTCAGATACGGGACCTGGCTGGAGAGGTGATGGCAGGTGAGGATGCTGACTGGGCTCCTGAGGCTTTTACCCTCATAGGTCATGGTGTCCCATGTCACTATACCAAAGAACAAATGCCTGACCCATTGGTAAGTTCATAGTTGAAGTGGAAGTCACTGTGGAGCAGGCCTTTGAAGGTCTTATCCCATGCCTGCTCCCCTCTCCTCTTCTCCCTGCCTCTCTCTCGCCCTCCCATGTGCCGTGATGTGAGTCACTTTGCTCTACCACATGTTCCTTGCCATGGTATTTTGCATCTTCTCCGACCCAGAAGCAATGGAGCCAAGTGACCATGGTCTGACACCTCTGCAACAGTGACCCCAAATAGACTTTTCCTCCTTTGTTTTCCTGAGGCACTTTGTTACTACAACAGAAAGTTGACCAACATGCTTTAGCAAATTGGGTCTTCTTCTCCAAATTCATTTCTTCTTTCAGATTTACTCCTTCCAACTTTGGCCTTGTCTCTTCCTTTACTCCCTTTATAATTATGGGATCAGAATGCCTGCTCAGATGTGGGCCTAGTTTGCCTTATAAAATGGGGTAGAGATAGATGAAGATTTAAGTGTCGTTTGGCATCTAGGCGTAGCCCAGGAGTAGGCCTCACTTTCCAGGTGAGAAATGGGTCCCCAGAAAAATAGGACTAAGATTCAGTCCATCCAACACTAAGCCTCTGGTTGTTTCTTAATTTTCTGTTGGAGGGAATTTCTCAGAGACGTTTTCTTCAAGGTACCTCTTCTTCGTGTTTCTGCCCCCTGATCCTTCCTTCTCTTTCCTCTCAAAGGAGGACTGTAACCTCTAAGAAGGGACCCCTGTTTGTGGTGATTGCAGGACAGAGAGGCTGAAATAATGAAAGCATGTTGCTCTTTTCTTTGACTAGGGAGGGGTGACAGGTTGGTGAGGTTCTGGGCTGGTAGTGATTGGCCCCATCTGGAGAAAAGGAAGTGAAAAAAGACATCCAAGAGAGATGCAAAGAAGGCAGGCTTAGTAGAATCTGGTGTCTTAATTGGCAAAGGATGGGACATAGGCCAAGAGTGAAGAATGCAGAGTTTTAGTTTCTTAGTCGGCTTGACCAAGAGTAAGACAGAAAGGAGGAAGTGACAACCATTCCCAGTCACATGCATCGCCATCTTCCAAGAGGAAGATGATGAGTGCTGTTTGGGTCGAGTGAGGGCAGAGATTCCCCTCACTTGACCCAAAGTGGCAGCCTGGATCCTGGAGATGAGGCTGAAGACAGTGGTTAGAGCATCATTCAGAGACACTGTATAAGTGATAAAGGTCACAGAGCAAAACACAGAAAGGGAGCACAAGACTGAGCCACAGGTGCTGGAGAAGGAAGTGGAATTTGATTCCACAGCCAAAGGCAGGGGAGGAGAGGCCCCGGGTTTGGGTTATGATGACCTTCTGCTCCCTGGGAAGGAACTTCGCTTTTCCTTAGAGACCATTAGCAGCCATTGAAGGTTTTTAAACTGAGAGATGACATGTTTAGATTTGTGTTTCAAAGAGATGTTCATTATTGCTATTTAATTATCTTTACATAGAGGATTTCATGATCTGAAGGAAGAGACAAGGGCTGACCAAATAGCTCAGCGGATTAAAGCACCAGCAAGCAGGCACAGGGGCTGGGGGTTCCTTCCTTCAGCCTGCTGAGCCAGCCCCACCCCCGGGACACACCGAAAGGCAATTGAGACTGGGCATGGTGGCACGCGCCGTAATCCCAGCTCTTGGGAGATTGTAAGCAGGCGGATCACTATGAGTCTGATCTAGTAGTGAGACCCTGAACACCCTATAGACCCTTCCCTAAAATACAAAAAAAAAAAAAAAAAAAAAAAAGAAGAAGAAGAAGAGGAAGAGACAAACTGGAGGTAGGACAGCCAATTAGAAGGCTGCTACAGAAACCCTGGTGGGTGGTACCAGGGTCCCAGATGGCCACAGTGGTAATGGCATAGAAAGGAAGGGGTAGTACCAAGGTGATTTGGAAAGCAGGTGCACTGCCTCATGTGGTGGCATGCCTAGCTACCCAGGAGACTGAAGCAGGAGCCACCAGGCAACGTGGTGAGCCCCTGTCTCAAAATGAAAAAGGCTGTAGACAGTGCCCAGTGACAGACTCTTGCTTTGCATATCTGAAACCTTGGGTTCAAGCCCCAGCACCCTAAGATGCACGAATAGAGAAAGGAGACGAGGGAAGGAGAAGCGAAGAGTCAGGGTGGCTGCTGTGGTGTCAGAGGGCTGATGGTCTTTCCACAATGGACAGGCAGGAAGAGGAGCCCTCTTATGAGGTGAGATTGAAATGGACATCCAGAGATTGAATGGAGATACACGTGCTTGGGTAACATTTTTGTAAAAATAATAAATACGCTGTGGTGTTCTGAGCTTTGTTTTGTATTTTTTTTTTTTCCCTGAGCTTGGAGACCTTTCCCAATTCTAAATGTCAGGACTGTGGGGTCGCTTCTTGGATGTCCGGGCCCTGTCATCCTTAAGCTCTACAGCAGCATGGTACGGCAGCCTTTCACCACTCTTCATCCCTGCTGACTTAGGATCACAGGGGCTCAGGAGGTTTGAAGAGTTGAGAGATAGTTTCTAGTACATTGTCCAGGCTTCAGTAGTATTTCTCTCTTTTCTGAATAAAGTTCTCGAAAGCATAGCCTGTACTTGCTAACATTCCTCCACTTTAAAAAGCCAACCCCTTGTAATCTTGCTCCTACCACATTCATGCTTCTGAAGCTGCTGTCACATGTCACCAGTGACTGTCTCATTGCCACAGTCAGTGCCTCTGTACCTGGTGACACTGTTACAGCCCCGTCCAGTTAAGCCCCTTCTTTGGTTTCTGGGACATCCCACTCTCCTGTCTCCCCTTTCGGCCTGTCTGGTGGGCTCTCTGTTGCTCTTTGGAGCTCCTTCTCTTGTCCTCGAGGCACACTTCCTGCCTCATGCCAGGCTGCTTTCCATGTGCCTCCTTTTTGTGGGAAGCTTCCTTGCTGCCCTAACTTCAGTGGATCTTGCCCCAAAGGCAAGTGTCTCTCTCTCTGTCTCTCTGTCTCTGTCTCTCTATCTGTCTCTGTCTCTGCCTGTTTCTGTCTCTGTCTCTGTCTCTGTCTCTCTGTCTGTCTCTGTCTCTGCCTGTTTCTGTCTCTGTCTCTGTCTCTCTGTCTGTCTCTTTGTTTCTGTCTCTGTTTCTCTCTGTCTCCTTCTCTCTCTCTCCCCCTTCCCATACCTCCCAGCTCTGAACTCACCATCTCTTCTTCCCCCTCAGTTGTTTGACCATGTTGTCCCCTACTTTGGGCTTCTCCAAATGATCATTACCGATCTCGTTAGTTCCTCAGACAGCTAGATTTCAGATCCTGGTGTGATTTCCGGAGCTTCTTTCTCTGACCAGTCGTGTCAGGTGGATCCCTAAGGGTTTGTTTGTTTTCTTTTGACTTTGCTGTACTGCAATTCATTTTCTCTGTCCCACCTTTCACTGACACCATATTGGTTTGGGCTTGTACAGGCTCGTGTCTGCATTATTGCAATTATTCTGTATTTCATCTTCTTGCCTCTCATTTCCTCTTGACTCAAACCCACTTGCTCATTTGAGATTAACCTTGCTAAGCTGCTGCACCGTGCCTGTGAGCTCCCACCCTGCTCAAGAACTTCGGGTGCTGCCCACCGCCTGCAGAGCCTCTGGGTGGCCATGTGATGGCTCTGTATCTACTGTCCTGTATCTACTTCTGCTTCCCTAAGCAAAACAGCTATGCTTTCGGTGCCTAACCTTTAGCCTAGCCCGCCCCTCTTCCCCAAACAGGTTTTTGAAAGGCATTTTATCCGTGTGGGCTTCTAGAGGTTAAGCTAAACTAAAATTTCTAGTTTATGTTTTCCTCGTTTATCCCTGGGTTTACGCCAACTCAAATGGTAACACTGGTTATCAATTAGTAATCAAATGTCTAAGATGAACAAAACCGGAGAAATAATTATTTTTCTTTAATAAATACCAAGAGAGAAGATCACGGATTAAAAAACCTCTGGAAACACAATTTCAGGTACCAATAGAAGCCCTTGATGCGAAGCTTGAGAACCACCACTGCACTCTAGTCCAATCCTGTTCTGAAACAGACTTGTATTTTCACGTCTCCTTGGGGCCTTGTTTATGTCCATCCTCTGCCGCGAGTGTCCTCCCCGGCTCCTCCCAGAGCCCAAAGACCCCGCCTCCGTTGGAACCCGCCGCAGCGGACGCCGGCTCCTTCCTCCTACACCTGCCAGGAGCCCTTCGTCCTTCGCTGTCTCCCACACTTCGTCCCAGCTCCAGCCTTAGCTCCCTGTCAGCTGAAAGCGCTGCAGGTGGAAATGATGTTCTGCGAATTTCGCACACAGCACCCACTGGCTGCTTGGGCAACCGTGAATAATAGGCAAATTGTGCCGGACGAGGCGCCCGGCCCAGTCTGCCCCCCTCTCCTCCCAGCGCAGCCCGCCGGGCCGGTGGACCCGACCTGAATTCATTTCCACCTCATTAACTCACCCCCGCCCCGCCCCCGCAGCTCCGGCTCTTGCTCCTCGTCTTTGACCCCTCCGCCTCCCTTTTCTTCCTTCTCTCCTCCCCTGTCATCTTGCCAGCTCAGCCCCTATCGCTCCGCGTATCGTCTCTCCATCTCTTTTCTCCCTGACAGTCTGGGTCTCCGCCTTTGGGTGTTCCTGCGCCTGCATCCGTCTGAGGCTCCGCTTTCTCGGCCCACACCCCGCCCCCTGATCAACTCGTCCAATCCCGGAAGCCCGGCCTGGCGCTCGACTCTCCTATTGGTCAATCTAGAGTCCCCCCGCCCCCGCCGCCCGGCCCCCTTCGGGCCCCTCCATTCACACAAAGTTTGGCTCCAGCGCTGCAGAGGGAGGGGGCGGCCAGACCCGGCCTTGCTCTGCCCCCCGCCGGCCCGACCCCGGCCTCATCCCCAGGACAAGCCCTTATCTGATCCCGGCTCCTGGTTTAAGAGTCCTGGCCCTACCCGTCGCGCAGCTCTGCTCCTCACTCCTGTCACTTCTGCCCTCCCCGTCCGTCATCTGTCCCGCTGGCCCGTCCGAGGGGCCACTCCACCTCTGACCCAAGGTAAGACCCCCTTGGCCGGGGTCCTGTCCACGTAATTCTTCAGAGGCATCAGGGCCCCGGGCTCCTTGGTCCCTACCCAAGCTGGCTTCAGTGGTACCATCCTGTGCCCCTTCTCCGGCCCAGGCCAGTCCCAAACTGAACCTCCAGGAAAGGGCTCTCCACGAGGGTGCTCAAACCAGGATGGTTACCTCACCCATTTAATCTGTGGAAGTGGCTTTCCCCATGCCCCTTCTCACTGAGCACACCTGCTCACATAACGATACATCCCAGACCTAGGCATCAGACAGCAAGTGCCCCCTCCTCCCGATCTGGACAGGTCAATCCCCTGGGCAGCTCCCCGCCCCCTGTCACGGTGATGCTCATGTGGTAATGACACCTACAACCACCAGTTCTCTCCTTGGGGAGACAAAACAGATTAGACAGGGGACTGACAGCCCTCTGCACTGTCTCTGTGGCTCCCTGGCCGTCTCTTCCTTTTCTGATGTAGCTTCCACTTCTAGACACCTCTCCCTAGGATGCCCCATGCCACCGCAGCTATTTCATAGGGAGAATCCCAGGGGAAGAGAGCAGGGCTGCTTTTTTTGGAGCTAGAGGGCAGATGGATCCATACATTGGTCCTCTGAGCAGAGAGACCCTTTCCCATTGTACTCCCTGGCACACACACCCTAACCCATCCAAGGGCACCTGAAAAGAGCTAGAGGCTGCAAGTTCTGATTCAGGGAGGAGAACTGAACCTCATTGTGGGTAGAAGGAAGACTCTGGGGGAAGGCAGTGCTGGGGCCTCTAGTATCTTGAGCTTTCATCCTGCAAATGAAGCCCCCCAGGCAGGCTGAGGCAGTAGGGAAGTTGGGTGGGGGAAGGCCAGACCAATTCAGCTTCCAGCCTCCCCAGTTGCTTATCAGTATGCATTCTACTCAAGACTTCTGGTCAGTCTGCCCTTGCCTAGGTGTTTGGATCCTGTCTCCCCCCAACCCCAATCCTAGACTACTTTAGGTAGACTGAGTGGGAGAGAGATGATGACAGAAGATCTGAGGTCCTCCTGGTTAGGGTTGTTGAGGAGGAAGGGCACGGAGTGGGTGTTAAGATACCAGCCCCAGGAGAGGCTAGCAGCCACCACCAAGTTCACTTTAGTTTCAGCCTAAGCCTCACTAGCTGATCTCCAAGGAGTTCTGAATATATTCCTGGCATGATGGTGGGCACCATCCTGTGCCAAAGGTGGGGCTTGCAGGTGCAGACTGTGCATGGGGGACCAAGTCTAGGAGAAGCCAGGTGTCTTGGGTCAGGGCTGGATCTTGGGGGAAAGATGGGGGGGGAAGGCAGAGATAGGGAGCTTCATGCCAGGGAAAAGGTCCAGGCTGCACTCTGGAGGCAGTAGGCATGGCCCAGGCAGTGCCAACTCCGCCCTCACCCAGTTCTTTGGTGGTGGTGGTGAGGGGGGGGAGGATAAGAGGGGGAGTTGGTGGGTGATCTGGGCCAGTCCAGCCTCCCAAAGCCCTTGCCAACCTGGGTCCTGAAAGGAACTGCTGTTTTCTAAGCCATTCCCCACCCCCACCCCCACGCAGGGCCCAGAGCAGCCAAGTTGTCTCAGTGGATATCAAATGGCAATGACTCCACTGACTGTTGGGATGGGAGGGAGTGGCAGGGGGTACCGGCTTATGGTCCCGTTTCTTCTGTAGCACCAATGTAGAATCCCACTGCTGCCCCCTTACCCTGATGGGAAAAGGTTTTGTCTAACCACATCTGCCCCACATCCAGTCTATGGCCTGTGTATTTGTGGCTAGGGATTAGCTGCCTGCTCACTGACATCCCCCAGCTCCTCTGTGCAGCCCCCACCTGTGCCACTCTGTGTAAGCTCACTTTCAGCTCCAGCTTTGTTGACTTGGATTAGAAGGAAGTGACAGGGAGAAGGCCCAGGGTCTCCTTCCTTTGTCCTTCCTAGGAATGAGGGAGGCTGGCCTACTTGGAACTGGGTGGGCTCAGAGGAAGTTCTCTGGGGTCATCATGGGCTTGGTGGGGTAAAAGGTCAGAGGTCTTGGGGGTAGCTCATGCAGTGAGACCCATTTCTCAGTGAAGACTCTTGGGCCTTGTAGCAAAATGCTTGGCTTCTACATATGAGATGTTTAGATAGATTGAAGTCCTTAGCATTGGTGGAGAGGGAGAGACATTGGATGATGGAGCTTCTAAATTGTCCTGCCAAAGGTGATTTAAAACAGAAGAAAAGAATCTCAATTCCCCACCCCCTCCACTCCCAGCTTAGATTCTTCTCTTGCCTGACTGGTCAGTGCTACTGTCCATGGTGAGGCCAAGCTGTCCAGGACTCTAGTGAGGCCCTGGAAGGGGGCAGAGAGAAGGGAGAACAAAGGCACACCACTGAGCTAAAACTGCAGAAAGACTGGAGAGAAAGGGGAGTTTTGGAATCCAAAGCTTTTAGCACCCAGTGAAGGGTGGTTGGCTGGGGCAGCTCCCAAGCCCTGTCACCTCTGTCTCTCCCACAGACTGAGTTCAATGCTTTGCTTTCTTCGTCTGCACTTAGTCTCCATGTTGTCACCGCTAGCAGCTAAATCCTGATTTTACTACTTGCTAGCCACACAAGTCTCCTCATCCCCACAATGGGGCCAATAATAGTTGTGAGAATTTTTGAAAAGTCAATATTTGTAAAAGGGCTTAGGAGGTTTAGCAAGTAAGAAGCACAGTTCTTGGCTGACAGGGGTCCTCCCACCTCTCTGATGGAGAAAGTGCATCCTGGCTCGCTCCTGTCCATCCTCCCCCCACCAGGGGAAAGAGAAAGGGATTGTGGGAGAAACCCTTCCGTGGGTGTCTGCCATTCTGGAGCCTGGATTTGAGGTGGTGGGGAAGGGGAGGCACTGGCTCTGGAATGTGGGAGCGAAGTCAGTGCTGAACTATGTGGCCTACAGAGAGAAGCTGGAGAATTGGGGGCACAGAAGGACTGAGTTAGCACTTCAGGCATCCAGAAAGGTCTAACATGGGAAGGGACCTATCTGGACTTCTGCAGCTTTTCCAGCAGCAAAAAGGTTCTGGGGAAAAGGTTGAGTCTGTAGTTAGAAGAATACAGGTTAGGTCTTAGGAAGCAAATCCTGCAAAAGAAAAAGACATTTGAAGTGAAGGTTGCAAAAGAAAGGCAAACAAAACTTGTGGGAAAGGGGAGTAAAGTTCCACACCTCTTGGGACTAGGTCTTTAGCCTCTGTCTGTGGGCCATAGCCCAGGGTAATCTCTGAGCCATTCTCTCCTTTCCATTCTAGACACTGCCCCCAAGGCCACCCTGATAGGGTCCTCCCACCTCTCTGACCCCCTTCATCTTTCCTGGCCACTGGGCCTTGTCCCTGCCCTTCTGAGGTGGCTTTTCTGAGTTTCTGTCCCAGGTCTCAATCCTTCATCTTTCTGGGGTTTGGGAAGATGGATAACTTATCAGTCTTTAAGATGAGGTGTCCATTTTGCTCCCATTGGTTGGTGGTCCTCAGAGGGCTTCACACCCATGGGCTCTTCTTCCCATGAGTCTTTGCCAAGCTGATGCACTTCTTCAGTGCAGACTCTGCAAATGTGAGCGGGGCTGCTGAGCGCCCCACCGGTAGTGTCTCCCCCTGTCCTCAGCAACTTCTCTCTCGGAAGACATCAGCTTCTACCCTTCACCACCTTGCCCCCTGTGCTTTCTGGAAAGCCCTCTTCTCTCTGCTTCTCCTTCTTCCTCTCCCAGTTCACTCTCTGCTTCTCTCAGGACTGCACACTCTCCTCCTCAGGCCTCTGCTTAGCCTGTTGATCCCGCTTGCGCCTGTGCTGTGGAGCCTCCTTGGTGGCCGCCTGCCTCCAGCCTCTCTCTCTCCTCGACTCCTTCCCTTTGGCTGGTGTGGCATTATCACCAGAACTGTTGTCACAAAACACTAGCTCTATCTTGCCCCTTCATGGTTTTCAGGGGGCTTTATGTCTCTCCTTTCCTTTGTAGCATCACACCTCTTGGGACTAGGTCTTTAGCCTCTGTCTGCGAGCCATAGCCCAGGGTAATTTCTGAGCCATGCTCTCCTTTCCACTCTAGACACTGCCCCCAAGGCCACTCTAAGTCCCTTCTTTCCTGTAAACCACTGTCCTCCTGTTTCTTTCTCTGCCATCTTTCCACTCTCTTTCACCTGTGACTTTCCCAGGATGCCCACACATGGTAATGTTGGAGGAGACCCCATTGGGGGTCCTTTAAGGTAGGGCCTATGACTCCTCAGGTGGAGGACACCCTCAGATGCAGGCATCTTTTCTTTCCCTGAAACTGTTGACACCCAGCACAGAGCTTGACTTCTTGGGTACAGAGTGACCACTGTCCAATTGGAGCCAGCCCTGGGACTCCTGCAGTAGGCACGCAGAAGACTCCGATATTCAGCTCTCTAGGAAGCTTCAAAAGAAACTCTTTTCCTACCTACTGCCTCATCATGTGGCAAAGGCTTCGCTCTAAGATGACCAGCAGTACACAGGCCCCTCAGAGCCATGCTGCCTCACCAGGGAGGTCTGACTCCAGCCCAGTGCTGGGCTTCTCTGCTATTGTCCAGAGTAGAAATAGGGACTAAGGTCAGTGTCCAATTCATTGTGCTGGGCATATCTCTGAGCAGCGCCTGGTGAGGTGGGAGACACAGAGACGCCCGCAGGTGGTCTCTTGGTGTTATGTTTTCCGGGGCTGGCTCTACCTTGTTCCCTTCCTCACCTACTAGATCCAGCCCCATGTCCTCTCCAGACCCACTGGCAGATCACATGATAAAAAGTCACTGGCAGCTGCTGAGAGGACAAGGCGAGTGCCTGCGGCGATCCAGAGCAGAATGCTTAACAAACTTCTGATCTCGGGACCCTTCTACACTTAAAAACTCTGAAGAGTTTTGTGATGTTTACAGCTATTGATATCGGCTACTCTAGAAGTGAATGCTGTAGGGACTTATTAATTTTTTAAAAAATAGCAACAATAAAACCATTTCCTGTAAAATGACTTTTTAAAAAATAAAAATAGCTA